GACTGGCCTAGGGGATTTTATAGGGGTTTTAATTACTTTTAATTGGACACTCTCAAATATTTCGTTTTAATTAAATTTTAACTAGGTGTAATATGTATTTATGTTAGCTTTTTATCATCTGTCAGCCGCCCTGAGTCCGAAAGGAGAAGGGCGGGATATAAATGCAATTAATAAATAAATAAATAAATAAATAAATAAACACTTCATCCTATTCTAAATCACACAAGAGTTGTACGAGGCATTGAACAGATTCCCAGCTATGGATTGCCCCCTTCTACTACTTGTGTCTGTGTGATTGGTAATGGACAAGCAGAATTTCTGTCTAGTTAGAAAAATGCTTCCAACTGTCAGTGACATTATTTATTTTTCCACAGGGTATAATATGTATCGTAGGAGATTCAGGACATTCATCTAATATTATTACAGGAGTAAAAAAAAACTTAATTTAAAACTTAACAGCAATTTTTGTTTTAGGTTAATGCTGGTCCATTAGCATATGCAAGAGCTTTCTTGGATGATACAAGCACCAAACGATATCCAGACAATAAAGTCAAATCATTGAAGGAAATTTTCAGGTAAACATTCTGAAAATATTTTTTTTCTTGGAAATAAGATACTTGAATGCTTTTAAGTTCATTTTGTTTTACTTCATTTTCATTTCAGACAATTTATTGAAACTTGTGGGCAGGCTCTAGAAGTAAATGAACGGCTTATAAAAGAAGATCAGATAGAATATCAAGAAGAAATGAAAGCTAACTATAGAGAGATGGCAAAAGAACTCTCTGAAATTATGCATGAGCAAGTATGTACTGAACTTCATTCAAGATATTCTAGATTATCCTATAGTTAAGAAGCATATCTCCATGCCAGTTATCAGAGTTTGCCTAATCTTAATTTTTGTTTGCTTGGGTGTATGTGTGTATCTAGTGCAGACAAAATATAGTTTAAAAAAGACACTTGAACAAGAGAGGTTGTGCCTTATTTTAGTTTTTCCCTTAAAGCTGACATAAAAATAAGTTTGGCAACTTTCTTTTTCTCTCACTTTTCTCAATACTGTCCTGCTAGGAAATAAACAATAGACACTAAGATGAACTATAGTAACATTTGCAGCATAAATGCTCAGTAACAGTAGATTGCCATTAGTCACATTTCTGTTACCAGCTTCTTAATAAAATTAATCTTTTCTGCCAATACTATGTTTGTACAACATATAAGCACATGTTCAGCAATAGCACACTGTATATGCTTGCTATTTCTTGACATGTTTAAATTAAACATACAAGGTAATTTAAAAAACATCACTTTCCTACAATAGGCATAGAGTACCTCTGTAGCATGGATCAAATTGCCAACCAGTCATGTTGAGCCCACTGCTTTCTTCCCCAAGTCAAGAGAATTAATTTTTTTTTCTGATTAGGAGATATTTGGACATGAGAACAACTTTTTATTACTTTGCAATCTGATGATACCACTTTAAAAAATCCCTCTACTTTGTATTGTGGAGGACCATTTTCAAAGATAGTTGGTGAAAATGTGTTATTCTTCTAAATGCCTGCAGACTCCTCCATATTAATCATCCCTGCACTGGAACTGTACTATATTAACAAATATTAAGTATTTGTCTTGTAATGTAAAGCAACAGTTAATTATAAGTCTAATTATTATGTGGGGAAGCATTAAAAGAAGGGAGTGTTTTATGTCTGAAAAATCTGCATATATTTGTTCATGAATGTGTGAATGGGATTCAGACAATCACATTGGAGGTTGGGCCTGCTACAAGGAGAGTGGGCCTGCCATTACTGCTATACAACCCCTGTGTGCTTTTCCAAAAACAATTTAAATCCTGCTATAATTGGAGCCACTCTTAATATATCTGATCTCCAGTGCATGGTATAGACGTTGTGGGTGATGGCTGGCTTGAATACCAATAGTTTATTAAAATCTCTCAAGCTTTCAGGAGGGAATAGAGCAGGGGTGTCAAACTCGCAACGTCACGTGACATGTTGTGACATATCACAACTTTTTTCCATTGCTGGCAATGGGGTGGGTGCAGTTTCAGAATGACGCATCCAGCCCGCGGGCAGGCAGTTTGACACCCCTGGAATAGAGCAACCAATTTCTCATGAGATTTGCAATCTGGAAGATTTAAACCATTCAATTGTCTCTATGTAGTGCTCTTAGAGACTTACAATTATGAAATAATAATCTTGTATTTTAATAAAAGTTGAGAATCAACATCTATTGATCTCTTATTGAAATATCTTACATTTTTATCTTATTGTTTTAAAGGGTGTACTCCTTTTTTGCAAAGTTTAAATATCTATTTTGCTTTCCTAAATACATATTAAAGAAATTAAACAAATTTTCTTTGAGAAAAGTGTTATCATATTCCATAGAAACCTTAATGGGCATCTCTCTTTCTTCCTTTTCTTTTTCCCTATGCTGCTTTGAAAATGTGATCAGCTGGGATGGTAATATCTTTTAGTTTCTTTCTAGTTTTCTGTTGTCTTTTAGTTACATTTTATTTAACACAAGACAAATTGCATTATCCTTGTTTATATTGCATATTCAATTTGTTTCTAATAAATGTAGTAATTACTCATTCTCTAGCCCTAGTTTACCATACAGGTAGTGTAGGCAGTCTTCCCCAAGCAAATAACTTCAAGATACTATACTCTGCAACTCTTGACATCCCTAGCCAACAGGATCTAGGACAACTCTGAGTGGCCAGCTCGGCATGGCCAGCTCATCGCCACCAGCTCACCACCGCCAAGTCGCCTCTGCCAATTCACTGCCGCCTGTTCCGTCCCAGCCTACGTGAGTCCTTGTTAAGCTCACAAGGAGAAACCCCTCTTCCAACAAGCAGACTGGAACCGCGGGAGAAAAACAATCCCTTTTTATTATTTACAGACCTGAGTAAAATGTCCAACGCAAACCAAAACACAGTTCACTGAAACTTGATTATTTAACACAAATGGTTGCCTTCAGCAACCAGCACCTCCCACACCTTCCCTTTTATTATGCAGCCAAGGCGTGGCTTCCTAATGCCTTCTCCTTTGCCTTTGGAGCCGCCTCATTGCATTCATCTCTCCAACTCTCTTTGCCTGCTGACGTTTACATGCATTCTGGATATCTTCCAGCTGTGAGTCATCACTGTCCAACTCAGCCTCCCAGCACAGCTGTGTCTCAGCCTGAGCACGAGTAGAGGGGCCAGGCTCCTTGTCAGACTGTAAATCTTGGAGCTCATCAGAGCTTTCCTCTGACTCTGATGTCCCTCCAGGCCCCTCCTCCTCCTCCTCTGATTCCCCAGACTCAGCTGCTGGGTCCACTGGCTGACAAGGAATCACAACACCACCAGGTTGCTGCAGGACAACACATGGCTAACTCAGAAGAGCAACTCATCATGGGTGGCCAGAGGAAGAGCTGGGCAAGCAAGCAGGTGGGCAAGGGCTTCCCATTTTCACACCCCTTCTGCCACCACCCCAAACTCAGGACTGAAAAGACCAGGGACGGTGGTGGTAGGTGGTGTGAAAATGAGACACCCCTGCTGCCATCACCTCCCCATCACCCGTCCTGCCTGCCGCCATCCCCAGTCTCTTCGACCCAAAGCTCGGCTGCAGTGGCGCTGGTGGCCAGGGAGGTGAAAATAGGAAGCCGTCGCCGCTCTGCACTCTGCCCACCCGCTCATTCACCCAGTTCTTCCTTCGGTTGCCTGTGACAAGTTATCCCCGCAGCAAGTTGGCCATGTGGAGTTGTCCTGTGGTGACTTGGCAGTGGTGTATTGGCAGAGGCAGCTTGGCAATGGCAAGCTGGCAGTGGCGAACTGGCGGCGGTGAGCTGTCCATGCTGAGTTGTCCCTTTCCGTAGCCAGCATAATTACTGATGATTGTGACTAGGAATGGTAAGAATTGCAGTCAGAGCTAACTGCAACATACTTGGTTAGATAACAAAAGCAAAAATAAGTTCTGAAAAAGTTCATTTTGTGTGCTAACTCCTCCCCCCACTGACTTTTATTTTCACTTTTGTTTAATCATACCTTGACATACTATGCAGATGTGAATAGTTAATATTAACTGTGATTGATATAAGTAAGCCAGCTTCCAAAACCTGTACGACATTGCATATTTTTCAGTTACTCAAAAAAATTGAGCTGGCTTTGATATGAGAAATAAAATAGCTACAGTACCTTCAATCTTATTTGACTAATTTCTGTCTTTACAAATTGTCCTGAACCAATAAATCCAGTTTTTGTTTTGTTATTTTGTAACTAAAAAATTATCAATCAGATAAGATTAATGTGCTTTATTTTTTTTAAAAAAGTTATTTTCTTGGGGGGGGGGGGAATAACAAACATGCCCAAGATAGAAGTGGGCTTTATTTAATGTACTTCATTCTACAGAATTCGTTGTTGTCTTTCATTTCTATGACTGGCAATGAAAGACTTATATTGATCCATAACTATTTTGCCACTACAGAAGTCAGCCAACCCTCATTGCAATAATGTATATGGGATGTATAGTCCCTTTAAATAATTGGGGTGGTGTCATCAGGTAAATTATTTTGTCTTTTTCTAAAATTCATAGAGGGATGGATGATATGCTGTTCTCATTTTAAAAATTACATTTATGCAAGGGATAGTCATAATTGGCTGATACCCTAACTTTTATTATTCTTTACAGTGTTCTCAGCCTGTGTGTTAAGACACCCTTTTTTCTTTTTAAGATTACTGCTGTGGAAGAAAAGGCCAATGCAATGTCCAACTCACTACACATTTTCAATGCCATTAGTGGGACAGCAACAAGCACAACAGTTCATGGGATACCCAGCTCTTCTTCAATTGCATAACTGTTTTATACATGAAAGTACCTTGACTTTGGAAAAAGAGGGTTTGGGGATAGCTTGCTAACTCAGGATAAAATCAAAAATTGTGAAAGAACTATGCAGATTCTAGTTATTATATCAGTCAGGTATAAGAAAATAAGACATCAAAAGTGCACATATTTTATACTATGCTTGCAATATTATATGTTCTGAGAAGTATTTAGGAAAACTGATTATACGAGGATTTCATGAAGTGAATGGCACAATGTAGGCAGATTTGGAACATGTGTGTAGACACAAACTTATGAGAGTGTTGCTGAAGTTATGCACATATGACCTGATTAAAGTATTAACCACTATGGACTAAATAAGCACTAAACAGAGGTGTTAAATGTAAGTAGAAGTAGCTTTTTATAATGTTAACTAACAGTTGTGCTCTATTTTGTAACTTACTGGCATTTTGGAGAGCTTATAAGCTTAACATGAATCAAGCATTTGCTTCCAATCAAAGGTGATTACATGATATTATCTTAAATAATAAATGTAAAAGTTTGTTAATACAGCTTATAAGGTCTATATAAATGTATTGCATTTTAAATATTTTTAATATTCATACTCACTTTCACCCTTTTACAATTGTGATGGATTCATGTTCATTCCAAGTAAATGCTCTATTTTCTTTTACATTTTATTTGTATATATATAAAGTGCAATATGAAGTTGTATACACTTTCTGTAACATTATGCACTGTTTAAAAAAAACATCTAATTTTGCCAAAGTGATGGAATATAAAAATGGTGATAACTACTGTGGAAATGGTGATGTAATTTAAGGCTTTTGCTATATTGCTTGAAGACATGAATAATTTTATACTGGAGAAAAGATAAAGGTTTTAATTTTATTTAACTGGAATCACTGTTCTGCTGTAATTAAACATTATGTATAACATCTATATTTTTTAAAAAAGTTAATTTATGTGCAATTTATTTGGATCTTTTTATTTTGCAAAATGTATCACTAAAATCAAGTATTACATTATTTTAATAAATGATATTTTCATATTCTTTTTTTGGACATATTTGGTTTAGGTTTTGTGCTGTTCTTAAGATTTGCAATAAATGATACTACTCATATGTGTAACTTGGAAATTCTGGTTTTTTTATATAGAGATGTTCATAGAAATTATTACTGGTACAATAGCTAGATTTCTTGATGTTTTAGATAGTTGTTTAGTTAAATTCCTTGATGTATGCGTTAGAAACTTAATTATTTCCTCCAGCTGAATTACATCTTAGGGTACTGAAGGAACTTGCTGAATATCTGATTGAACTTTATACATTTTGACCCTGGATAATGAATGAAATGCCAAATTCAAACAAAATCTTCAAAAATGGGACAAAGGAAGATCCAGCGAACTAGACCATTCAATCTGATACGGACTTAAGGATTTCTAAAGTAGATCATAAGATAATTGACCAACATGTATTTTCAAAATAATATAATAATTGCTAGAAAATACTAGAAGAAATCTCATCAGATTACTTAAATTCATTTTTGTGAAATACTTTAACAGATTGTTTCAGCAAAATATTTGAAAAAGTACCCTATAATGTTTTGACTAGCAAGCTAGTTAAATGATGGTATGACAAGTGAGAATCAATTATCCCTTTAGGAATCATCAGAACTTTGTTTATGTACAACATGAGCAGACAATTAAGTTTCTTTTTTAAGATGTATTCAAAAAATAAAGCTCAGAAAATGTCATGGGCTACATCAGAAATAGCTAGGTCAGAAGATAAGGCAGAATATAAATAATTAATTAAATATGTGAATAAATGAAGTGATTACTATATTTTTCCTAACAGTCGTCAGCCAATTAGAGTCCAAATGCTGCCTTTTCTTCTCACCTCCTTGCAGTCCTGTGTCTTATGGGCTAAAATCAGTGGTGGGATTCAGCCACTTCGCACCAGTTCAGCAGAACCGGTAGCTAATTTTTTGTGCCCAGGCCCAGAATGGATTTCCAGAAGGGGCATCCACACAGACAACCGATTCTTCACATATTTGAATCCCACCACTGGCGAAAATCTAATTTATATTGCAGTTTCACATGGCTAAATTCCAAGGTAAATAATAAAATGGGCATTGGGCATAATTTCTACTGTAGATGAAGGACTGATCATTTCAATCACTTTCTGAGGACAGATGTCTATAAGCACAAGGGGGTTGAAATAGAATTTTATACCATATAAATACATGCAGGTGGGAATGTTAAAACGGCATTCTCTGTGGTTTGTAAAGGGATTTTTTCTGCATGCTTATGCCTTTTTATCCAAGTAATCCTGCCTCCAATAATTGCCTGAGAAATTTGGGGGGGGGGGACTGGGAGGAGGAATCCCTCCCCTTAGGAGAACTTAATTTTTGTTTTGTTTGGGTTTGATTCCAGTTTTCCCAGGTGAAAATCCCAGTTCTTCCTGCTGCGTGCCACGATTAGATTAAAAGCCCTACTGATGCCCTACTGATCCTGCATACATGATCATCATTATATGGGCAGGAATATAAATAACAAAATGCTTTGTCAGCTATAAATACTCTGAATTGCAACAAGCAATAACAAAATACATTATGAATTTCAATTAACTGGGTTACCTGATAGTGTAGAACAGCGGATGTCCAAATATGTTGTGACATACACAGCCTGCTTAATCTGTCCTTATTTTATTGTTGATCCATTACTGTAGTCTTACATTTGCAGTTTCACTGACACATTTTAAGAAGGAGCACACCCTTCAAAGTGTTTCGCATCTAGACAGGCAAAACTGGTTGTTGGATATTGCCTGTCCTACATCTTTAGTTTCTCTGATGTTGATTTTACACACTAGAGGCTGTTTTCTGCTTCATTATGCAAAGGCCACCAGCTGAATGAAAAAAGGGAAGGGGATTTTAAATTGACACTGTAATCCAGCTGAATTGATATCTTACATGGACTGTGATAGAAACCCAAAGAGAACAAAATACAAAATACTTAATATTAGTAGTCATATGATTTAATAATATTGGGAGTTATTGCCTATTTTATTGAGTTTGATTATACTAGGCACACCTCAAAGGAAAAAAATGTAGTTAATTTGTTCATAACATTTCAAAGACAATATATTTGCCAGCCTTTCCTTACTGCTCCAGCTTTTGCTTGTAATTTCAAACTACTAGCAATAGAGGTACAGATAGTCCTCAACTTATTGAGCCCAAAATTTCTGTTGCTAAGTGAGATATTTGTTAAGTGAGTTTTGCCCCATTTTACGATCTTTCTTGTCATAGTTAAGTGAATCACTGCAGGTGTTAAATTAGTAACACAGTTAAGTGAACCTGGCTTCCCTATTGTCTTTGCTTGTGAGAAAGTTACAAAAGGTGATCAGACGACCCCAGGATACTGCAACCGTCATAAATATGAGTCAGTTGCAAAGTGTCTGAATTTTGATCACATGACCATGGGAATGCTGCAATGGTTGTAAGTGTGAAAAACGGTCATTGTAACTTCAAATGGTTACTAAATGAACTGTTGTGAGTTGAGGACTACCTGTATTTTTTCCCATTAGCTAGCAATGTTGAATGAAAGGAATCTGTTCAAGGTTAAGTACCAATACCTAGCCCAGTGGTTCTCACCTTTTCTTCACCATGGACACCCTTTAAATATCTTTTGTGGCCAAGGAACATGGCTATGGACCCCCAAGACTTAACTCTAAATCATAACATTTATTCCAGCCTTTGTGGACCCTCTCCTGTGCCAATATCGAGATCGCCCAGGGATCCACAGACCATAGGTTGGGAACCACTGACCTAGCCTATCCTTTTGCATTATTATTTATTATTATTATATAACAGAAAATATGAAATCACAGTTACCAATTCTTTAGTTGGTATCGATCTTCATATGCATCAAGTTTTTCCCAAGAATTTCGGATTCTATACTATATGGGTGTAGTATATGTGCGGATCCAAGCGGTCTGGCCTTTTATAATTGACAGATGAAAATTTTGTCAATGCAGGTATGTTCTAAATCTGTCCAAGATTTTTTGGTATGGCACCCAATGTACCTGTAAAAGTTTATTAACATTATGCATGGGTAATCTACAGTTGGATTCACAGTGTGAGACTGGTGGAAATTTAATAATTCAAGACTAACTACAAGCAATGGCATGACAAAGTATCAACAATGTTGCATTGGAAGATCTGCCAGAAATTCTATTTGCTTGCAAGCAAGAGCTGGTGGGTCTATAAAATAAAGCAATAGAAGATGAAGAAGCTAAAGTGATACAGGATTTTAATTCAAACAGACAAGCACCTGCCATATGACACTCAAGACTTAACAACTGTCAATAAAGAAGACAAAGTCTGAATGTAGCAATACCTGGTGACAGCAGAATAGAAGAGAAAGAACAGGAGAAAATCATAAACCATAAAGACCTGCAAATATAAGTAGAAGGATTGTGGCAAAGGAAAGCAAAGATAGTACCGATAATGATAGGTGCCTTGGTGCAATCTCAAAGTATCTGGAGCACCACTTGCACCATTGGCTTTGACAAAATCCTTATCAGTCAATTGCAAAAGGCAACTTCATTTGGAACATCTGACATCCTGTAACAATACCTTTAACACTATCAAACAACATATGTCTATCCCAGGTTCTTGAGAAGGAATTGATAAGAGGATAAAAATGCCAAATGCAATATAAATATCTGGCTGTGTGATGAACCATAATAATATTCATGTCAAAGGAATAATATGCATGCTCATGTCAGAATTATTATAAATCTAAAAGCATAACTGATTTCATTCTTTGAGAGCAAAATTTGAAAAAAATTAATGATACAAGAGTAATGAAATATTTTGAGTGTAGGACACTTCAATAGGTATATTTTTTAAAAAAATTATACTTGCATTAAGTGTTTTCAAAGGAAAAGAGTAGACACTATAAAAAGAAAAAATGCAAAAAATGCTAACTATACATGTCCCAGGATAATGTTGCAGGATCGAATCTGGATCGGCCACAGGGACGACACATTTATTCTTCTGAGCTTTCAAACTTGTGATGGAGCCCATCTTCAGGGAACTTCTCTCTACTAGAATATATGCTTTGGGCTATTTTCTGAGTCATATTTATGCGATGCCTTCCTATTGGTTGATTCATGTCTTGATGCCTGGCGATTGGCTTTTGTTTCTTTGTGCTGCTAAGCCCTCAGCTAAGTACTTGATAAGCTGGTGGTAAATCAGCACTTCTGTTAACTGACAAGGGGCCCATTTTCCAGGTTTCAATCATTTCCCTGGCTATATTTGAACCTGCATGGCCAACCACTTCTAGCCGCGAAATTGAATGTTCCTTGCAATGTGACGCTACCAATGTGAGGCTACCACCAGATTGCAAGAACACAAGTGAGCGGTCAGATAAGACCTGAACTCATTGGTAGCCTCACATTGCAATGCCCAAAGCACATATTCCAGTAGAGAGAAATTTCCTGAAGGTGGACTCTATCACGAATCTAAAAGCTCGAAAAAATAAATCTCAGGTCCTGGCAACTGATCCAGATTCAATCTTGCAAAAAATAGTAAACTCAAGCATAAAATGGATGAACAAAATTTACATGTATCATAGAATTAGGCTATGTTTTCATGTTTCTTTAATTAGTTTAACCAAAATATGACAATTTTGTCATGACAAATTATTTTTGAAGTGGACATAAATAGAAATATCAATAGCACAGTGTAAATCATAAAATGATTAAAACAATGCTGCGCTTCAATGGTTAGATGGCCTAGACGTTAGTATTTGAACATAGACATTTTTAACATTTCTATTTTATTGTGTTTAAAAATCTAGGTGGAATGTTTATATTGCTAGTTCATGTATAATATGCCATATGCTAAATAAATTAAAAAAAATTAAAACTTATAGTAATTCTAACCTAAACTTTATATTAAAAAACCACTAAATTTTAGATGGAACAAGCTCATATTTAGAATTTTAAGGCAAAAATGGTTTTTAAGTTACATTAAACTCTGTGTCAGATTTACCTTTGAAATATAAAGTTTCGGACATGGAAGCAAACACTCAGAGTTTAATTAGCCATTTTTTTTGCAGAATAAA